TAGCTCTGCCATTCACTGTAGTGGAATGGAGTCTTCCAACAGTCCCACGTCCGTCATCTAAAGATCGTACAACAGCATCTGTGGAGACATCTTCGCCAAAGGGATCTCCTTTGGACTCTAGTGAGTTGAAATTTTCTTACAGACTGTAGCAGCATTAACTTTTTGTATGTCTTATCTCTTAGTGATTGCAAGTCCTTATATCTGAGGATTAATTTTATTGCAGAATCTGGCACTGATGAACCACAAGATGAATTTTCAGAATGTTTTTCATTCGCATTGGCAAATGGAGCACTTGGAGTTTTTGAGGTTCAGGGGAGAAGGATCCGAGACTTCAGGTGTTTATATTTTCTGACATATTTGACTACCAATGGTACCAAACATGACAGATTGTTACACTAACATTCAACAAGTTGGTGAGATGAAAGTCATGAAACTGATCAAGATAATACATAGAAATAATATAACTACATAAGCAAGTGGTTGATCAATTGGACTTAAGGATGGAATTGCTGCAATTAGTGTGATTATAATATTATATCATAATATTTTTGGTGTGTTCTCATGATTCATAACCTTGTGCTGTTATTTCCATTTCAAATACTCCCTCTCAAGGTCAAATCTTTCCTTGAAAGGAATGAGAAGTTTATTTTGGGATGGAAGGAGTACTCCACTTATTTTATCTAAATATAGTTATCTAATTAGTATGCATGTTTAGCAATGCATTACTTACTCGCTGATTACAAGTTGAGACAAATAAAATAAAAGTTGGCTTCAGTAACCAAGTGATTCGACTTTAGTGATGGTGGGGCTTTGGAAACTTCTGCATTGACTTGTGTGAGGCGCATCTTTTAACTTCCTATTTGGATGGACACATTATTTTCTTCATCTTTCATTTGATTTCTTCGTGAAACAGCCTCTCTAACCTATAGGGTTTGTTTGATTGGAGGGGAGGGAGGGGAAGGGAGGGAAAATGCATCTTTCTCCTCGTTTGGTTTTAAAATAGTGGATGGGAGGGAACCTAAGTTTTTGGCTCTCATTCCCTCACTTCCCCCTCTTCCTTCCTCCCAAATCGGAGGGATTGAGTTCATTGCTATACAACAACAACAACATCATCATCATCATCATTACCCCAGTGCCTCAACGGCTCCCGCCCATTGCGGGGTAAGGGGGGTCGGATGTACGCCGTCTGACCCCTATGTTTAAAACATAGGGATCTGTTTGTTTTAATCATGAAAAAGCAAAGTTAATGCAAATATATAATAGGAATCTGTTTGTATTATCATTAATGCCATATTAAGCTTAGAGAAATGAGTCCTAAGCCTCCTAACTAGTTTTATACTTTTCACAGTATGCCCCTCTCTTAGAGAGTTAGAGTTGTAGGGTTCAGAGCAAGAGAAACCTTTTTTTTTTGTTCTCATTGTTAATTTGCGGCTTCATTGACTATAGGTGCTCAATTTTATGTCTTTTGACAGACCAAAGTGGCCATCTTCTTCATTTGCTGCATCTGATGGATTGGTAACAGCCATGGCATATCGACTGCCTCATGTGGTACATTTGAATTATTGATGTAGTCTATTTATCTGCAATACATGTTGAACTTGATGATGTTTTTCCTTTCAACATTTCCCAACAAGAGGCAGTAATTTAATTATCCTGCAGGTTTTGGGGGATAGGTCAGGGAATATACGTTGGTGGGATGTAAACACTGGCCAGTCTTCCTCATTTAATACACACAGGGAAGGAGTACGGAGAATTAAGTTCTCACCAGTTGTTCCCGGAGATCGTAGCCGTGGACGCATTGCAGTTCTCTTTTATGATAACACATTTTCTGTATATGATTTGGTAAAAACACATGTTCACCAGTCTTTGTTTTGGTGTTTTTAATCCTCTAGTCTCTCAATTTTTGATGTCCCTCGGAGGATCTATCTTTTTTTATTAAAATGTCAACAGCAACAACCAAGCCTTATCCCCCTAGGTCAGGTCGGCTACATGGATCAATCGACGCCATTGCACGTATCATATCTGTAGCAAGAAGATCTATGTTTTTGTCAAGTTATCAACATTTAGGGACATTTAAAATCGCAACACCTTGTAATCTTGTATGCCAAATTTGGATAAGCTACTTAAAATAAGTATTTTTAGATATACAGCTAACCATTTTTTAACTGCCTTCACCAATTCTTTTTCAGCTTATGCTGATAAGATCCTTAGGATGCCTTATGGAAATTGAGAATGGCCTTATCAATGCTCCATAAGCTCTTCATTTAAGCATATCCAAACACACTATTATAGCAGCATTTTGACATACTTTGCTATGTGAACATGGCAATTTTGGCTCTATTCAGTTTTGATGAGTAAAGGTTGTTATTTCTTTCATTTTTGTTTGTTTGACATCCACTCCCCCCTTTTGGAAGCCATCATCAACTTAATCTCAAGTATGTGCAGGTCGGAAACATGAAATGAATTCTTAGTTTCAATTATTTGTTTAAAATAGTTAGCACCATAAATACATGCAAGTAAAGAAGAAGAAAGCATAGTGGAACATTATTTGTTGGGAGTCCTTCCTGGTTCAACTTTCTCATGCAGGAATAATGAGATGAGATTTCAAAACCATGAGCATCATAGGTTTTCCCTCTTGCATAAAAAAATCATGAGATGTCAGTGGTGGCTGTTAAGATAGTCTTGGTAGCGATATGAACGCTTAATTGGTCTTTGGAGTCTGGATTGTGGAAGTCTTTTTTTTCCAAACCTAACAAATTTCTCAGTTTCTCAGCTAATTATTACACATTTTGTTCAATTTTCAGGATTCACCAGATCCATTGGCCAATTCACTTCTCCAACCTCAGCTCCCTGGAACTCTTGTTTTGGAACTTGATTGGTTGCCTTTAAGAACTGATAAGAATGATCCACTTATTTTGTGCATTGCTGGAGCTGATAGCAGCTTTCGTCTTCT